AGTAACAGCCAGTCCTTGTTCGACCTGGGCAGGGTTCGCCATCGGCCGGTTGCCCACTGCCGTCAGCTGTGTCTAGTCTCGTGTCTTGTAGTTTCTTGCTCAGCTTCTCAGCTTGAGTTCTGTGTACTGACTCCACCTAATCACAGTCAAAGGTTTGCCCATGTTTTTAGCCATGACTTCGCCGTGTTTTTCCAGCTCCAAAAAAAAGCAAACGCTGGGAAACCGCATCTTTCAGTACGTCGGATAATCACACACCCGGAATTAGCTTTCACGTTGAGGTAATGGTGACTGACCTGTTCTCTGTCATCCCATGGAGAAACTTCCCCAGTCATTTTGTACCATTATATAAATATATATATAAATATAAATATATAAATACAATATGTGAAGACATCTTATTGGTTTTTATTTGAAACAATTTTTAGGCTTGTTTTTGGGTATCTGTGCTGCCTGTAATGTATTGACCTGTTTTATAGGTGCCTTTTTATTAAAAAGACAAATTTCAAAACCTGACCCTGTGCCTGTCCTCGGTGGGACGCGTGATTTTCTGGGGGGCTGCAAGCAGGTGTGCTCAGCCCAGCCCCCTGAGCTCAGCCAGCATCACCTGCAGCAGGTTGGGGCTGATCAGAGGGCGGGGGGTCAGCTGGCCTCCCCTATAAATGCCTTGTCTTGATAGGTGCCTTTTTATTAAAAAGACAAATTTCAAAACCTGACCCTGTGCCTGTCCTCGGTGGGACGCGTGATTTTCTGGGGGGCTGCAAGCAGGTGTGCTCAGCCCAGCCCCCTGAGCTCAGCCAGCATCACCTGCAGCAGGTTGGGGCTGATCAGAGGGCGGGGGGTCAGCTGGCCTCCCCTATAAATGCCTTGTCTTGAGCAAGGGGCTGTGTTTGAGAGCAGAGGAGCAGAGCTCTTCTGGGTGGCAGGAGTTGTCTATGCCCAAGGTATGCTGAGAATTGGCTGCACTTGGAGTTTTCTTCCCATGGAATTCGGGCAGCCCCCTCTCGCAGGGGGGGACAAGCTGTTTGGAGCCTGCTGTGGTCTGTGCTGGCTGGACAATTTGGCCCTCCATGGCCACTGGCCTGCTGGCTCTGCTGCTTACGAGGAGTATAAGCTCAGCTGGGACCAGGGAAGTGCCTGCACAGGACATGGGACAGCACCGTTCTCCCAGGTAGGTGCAGGGGCACACGCAGGGCTGGGGGACGCACCGGGCAGGGCCACCTTGGCCACCTCAAGGCCCTGGTGGGACTGCAGAGCAGAGAGGTGACCTAGAGCAGGGACTAGCTGCCTGAGTTGTCTGCTGGTGCCTGGAAACCCGTGGTTCGCCCTTGTTCTGGCATCTGGTGGCCTGGCAAAGCTTGCCTGCGCTCTAGCTGCTGTGTATTTGCGGGGAGCTGGAGCAAATGCAGGGCACGGCAGTGGGGTGAGCGGCCAGTTCTGGGGGCTCAGAGAGAGAAAGGGGTCGTGCTGCTGGCTGTGCACGCAGCTGGGGTGGTGCATGTGGCTTGCTGCCCAGGACCCAAGCTGGTGTGCCTTGGTGACTGTGGTGTCTTAGGCCCAAAGCCACCTGTGCTCGAAATAAGGAGGACATGGCAGGCAGGCAGCAGTACAGACACTGAAGTGCTTGAGCATCTGTTTGGGAGATTGGGGTGAGGAAGTAAGTTATCTTCTTGGTAAGGAAAATGAAACTGCGTGTGAGTCACAGCAGGGCAGGGGGTGCCAGAGCTGCAAGGAGGGGTGCGAGGGCGTGGGGAGAGCCCCTTCTCTGCTGCGCTCCCAGGCACGCGTTCGTTCATGCGTTCTCGGTGCACGCTCCGCTACC